ATAGAAATAAGTACCTATATAAAATATAATTATTATTAAACAATAAACGATAAGACATACGTCGGCCAACAATTTAACTTTGAAGAAAATCTCGTACTAGAATTATAAAATATGTAGGTACCTACCTACTTGTAGGTATATATTATAATTACAATTTAAAGAAGTATGCATATGAAAAAAAAACATTAATGATTAAATAAGATTTTTTATTTTATTCGGAACTAAAAAAGGAGCTCGTTCATTTTCCAGAGGAACGACAAAGGAACGAATTATTTTTTTTATTTTAAGGAACAATTGGAACGGTACGAATTCCTTTTTATAAGGAACTTGCCAAACACTGTGTATTATAATTTATAAATAATATAACTGAGCCTACATTTTTGAATGCCAAATGGCAAATGCAGGTCTGTAGTCTGTACCTACAACCTACATCGCTCGCTGCCGGGCTTATTCCAATGTGTTTTTATTTAATCTCAATAATTACTTATAAATATTAGTAATTAGTAATATCAGTAATTTTTAATGTATCAAACAAGAGGTTTATATTGTAAAATATAAAATACAAATTGTAATAATAACAGCAATAAATAATTTATTATAATATGTCACTGTCGAATACTCGAATATAATAACATATACGGCCGTCTTTTGTACCATAAATAGTAGGTTATTATATTATATTTAATCAAACTATGTAGGTATAACAATATAATCCTATCATAGTGTCATATCATAAATATTGTTATTACTTATAATTGTGAAAAAATGTGCAACAAATAACAATAATAATAAATGTTTTACCTATACTGGTACCTACTTTTGTTTTTTTCTCCGCGATAATTACAACATGTCCATAAGCGGGAATGTTCCGCTCACGGCGCTCAGAGGACACTGCTTTTACCGTAATGCACATCATAGGCGGAGATCCTGTGAAATATTGGGGGGGGGGCTCAAATAGTTGGTAGCAAACAAACCCGTGGGGGCAAAGCCCCCACACCCCTAAACCCCCAACACTTTTTTTTATATTTAATAACTCATTAAAATAATTAAAGATATGAAGAATTAAAACCACGTTTTTGAGAACCACATTGTGTTAAAGGGAATTGCTAAATATTATTAGATAAAAAATAATAATTTTTATTAAGTAGGTAGCTACAATGCTACATAATAATAAATAATAATAAAATACAGATTATTACTTATCTATTACAGATAGGTAATGTCATGTATAATACATTTATAACTTAGGTACCTTTAGTTTCGGTATTTTAGGACCAGACTCTAAATCACCTAAATCCAAATCCAAATCGTCAACAATTGCTTCAGGTTGTCAGTAATATCTGTCGATCTTGTCGGTATCTCTTCAGGTTCAGTTGTTTTTGATTTAAATATTTCAAACATATTTGAATTTAATTATAAATGTTTAGACTCGAATGAAACGTTTTTTCGAGTACCGATATCAAACAATAAGCAAAATATAATTTAGAAAAATAGAAAATAGTATATTTCGTAAATAGTCAATATGAAGTACGAATGAAGAATGACGAATCATTCAATCTAATCAATCATGATAAACTTTACTTTATTTCTAATCCAGCCATAGCGATCCACCTATTTTTTTTTTGGGGGGGGGCTAAGTTCCCCCCCCCCGATCTCCCCTATTTGCATCTCACATAAAAACATTTACCATATTCCATTTTACAGGGAGATTTCACAATTTTTATCCATGAATTCGTGCCTTACAGCAAATATTAAACGTATTTAATATGTAGCTAAAGGGAGATAGCATCATAGTATCATATTCAATGTGGCTCACATGACGTGACGTCGTATACAATGCTTCGTTCTAGAAATTTCAATGTTCAAAGGTATAAAAGGCGAAGTTCGGTACGAGTTAGAAGTTCGTGGTTTTAGCTACCCCCTCCCCATTTTCTCATGTGCTTACCAATTTTTACCCCAAAGGGACGTAGAAGGGATACTTTTTGGAGTTGAATATTTATTTTTTTATTATTACGTTTAAGTATACATTTTATTATTCTTATTTGTACTTAGTAAAATGCCGCCATAAAAGTCAAACCTCAACAATGAGTATAGCTATTTGAGGCACGACGCAAACGTGTTGTTAGACATCATGAATCGGCTGAAGAAATGGTTATAAAATCATTTATAAAATTAAATTTGTTTACGTTATCTGTAAAGAAGTTTGTAATTTACTCTTCCATTGCAGACTATGTTCTATTCTTAATCCAGTGGGTTATTAGATTTTATCTTTACTATAGTGACATCATGAATATTGATTTGACATACTCAATCGGAGTCAATAGTTTACTTTACGCGATGATCTCCGAAACTACTAATTAACTACAAATAAAAAAAAAAACTTATTTTCTCATAAATAATAAATTAAACACTAATACATGGCTTACGAAAATGCAAAAAAACAAACAAATCCGCGGGCAACGCGGGACAGCTAGTATTTTATAATATAATATTAATTATAGTTATAGACAGCGCCGGATCATAGCTTTTTAACACCCGGGGAAAATTAAAAAAATACGCCCATCTCAGGGAGATGATCAGAAATAGTATTTTTTTTACGAAAAATCAAGCACACTCACACAGTATTGCGAGGAACTGAGGACCAGCATTTACAAAACCTTTCCAAATATACTGCAGGACCAATCATTTATTTACCACAAATAATTTGAACGATTTTAACTTAAAAAATGAAACATTTTAAATTTTAAACTACTCACGTAATGTAGTTTTAGAAGCTAAAATCTGTGGTCAATATTTCTAATTTCCAGGTTTAGAATAAATAATATTGATAATAATAACATGTATGAATTATTTATTAACAAATCAAAATTAGGTATCCATTGCTATTTTTAATATAGGACGCTTTATGTAAAAGAACAATATTTAATTTACAACATACCTATCAATATCATACATTTTCATTTTTAATATTTGTTACAACCAAAACTTAATAATATGTACCTAGGTACGGAATAAATACAATGAAACAAAAATGTAATCATGTACTGAAAATTGTAATATAATGATTATAACACGACAAAGAAATATTTATCATGGATTATCACTTACGGATTGAATGTAGGTACCTATATACTAAAATAACTACATTCTATATTTTAAAAATTTCCAGAATAATAAGGACTTGGTTGTCTGTTTGACATCTTGAACTATAAAAATAAATTAGACAAAAAACACAGTTTATAATAAAAAAAAAACGAACCAAATAGAATATAAATTTCCTTTTCAATTATTTTATTATAATATGTAAAACATAATATTCAATCTGTCTTGGGCTACAATCAATAGGATAGTATTTTTGTTTTAATTATTTAATTATGTTGTACTTTTGTAGTATCAAGTTTATCAAGTAAATTAATAGTTGTATAGTTGTACCTATTTAAAAAGGAAACACAAATGACAAATGATATTCCATTTTGTGTTCTGTTACATTTATCTAGTGGCCATAGTGATATTTATAAAAAGGCATTAATTGTTAAATACAAAGACTTTTATAAGCCTAGGTACAAACATGTAATTTAATAAATAATCTGAAAACAATTAAATCATTAGTACCTAAGTAACATTTTATGTAGTACATAATTTTATGCAGTACCTACCTATTGGCTATTTGGAAAAATATATAGTTGTTAATTTAAAATCACATAACAATGAATTACAATTAATAGTGCGATTTTTAAGATTAAGGTTTTAAACAACTATCTACATAATATTATATTATATGCAAGAAAATGATGTAATTTACCATACTTTATTATGTCACTAATCGGAGAGTACATTAATCTATTTATGATAGACTAAGGCATGTTCACTCCCGCTGACAGTAAATTGCGGACGGGTTTTATTTATTTTATATTTTTATCTATTTTTTACCTTTTTCATATTTGTCCTTTTTAATATTTAAATTAATGTTATTAGTTATTACTAATCTCGATTAAAAATAAAATTATTTTATTTTATTCCCATACCCAATACTACACATTTCCTGTGAAATATTATTTTGTACTTAGTTTTGACTTTTGTTTTAAAGTCCATTTTCAATTTTCAATTTATAAAATATTTAAAACCTTAAAAATACGCCCTCGAAAATTATACGCCCGGGGATAAATCCCTGACTTCCCCCCCCCCTAGATCCGGCCCTGGTTATAGATATTAATTATGTTGAAGAACTGAAGAAGTGTTTCATAGATAAATGTAATGATTATATTATGATTATATTTAATAATTATTTAAAACATAATAAAAATAATAATGTATTTAGTTGGTAGGGGTTTTTGGTTACGGACAATTATTGGTCCCCGCATAAAAATTCCGTATGCAGACAATCCGTCCCCTTCATAATTTTATGCCCGGACAATTTATTAGTCCCTGGTCAATATTTTTCCTTGAGACAACATTTTTATTTTTAATTTGACGGTATATTTTATTCAAAAATTATTATTAAAAAAAAAAAAACGTTTTGTATTTAGGTATTTAACTTTTTAATTATTTTTACTTTGTCAGTGTCTCGGGAATATTTAATATTAAATATTTCTTATTATAATTATTATGCTAAAAAAATATTTTGTATTTAACTTATAAGCCCGGCACCAATTGTCCGTGTATACAATTATAACAAGGGCCAATACGGGCTATTAGTGGTGATAAGAATAACCGTTATCAGAAATGGCATTTGGTTCCAAACAAACATATTTTAACACTGGATTTAATAGGAACAAAACAATTTTGTTTTTAATTAATTTTATTCTTATGATTTTTTTGCTTCTTATGGTTAAATATTGCGCCAAATTGTATTAAGATACCACCTTTTATCACTTGAAACCATAATATTATCTGAATTTGTTTACGGTTTACTTTTAAAAAACGTTAACAGAAACTCGTCTATTGCTAGTATTTGTAAAATTGTTGCTTTTTCTTTCCTTAAATGTATTTTACCTTTAATAATGGCTGGAAATCATGTATTATCCATTAGTTCTCTGTGTAGTTTTTTTAAAGACAATATGAAACAGTTTAGAAGAGGTGAAATAGCATATAAAGATGGCCATGTATTAAAATTCCAGGCAGATTTAGAGCAAAATATTGTTGTAGGTGACGTCAAACCGAGTATGAAGAGTGATCCTTACAAGGTTAGGATTTTATTAAATGACGGTAGTATATCTGATACCCATTGTTCTTGCCCACGCGGAGTTGCAATTTGTCACCATATTGCAGCTTTGGCATTGTATATCCATTATAACCTTAGTTCAACTGACAAAGCTTGCTCGTGGAGTGCTAGACCAGTTAATGTGTCTAGTAATGTAAAAAATATTAACGATATGTATGGCACATATAATATTCAAAATACAAGTATTGCTGAGGTGGATTTTGAAAACTTCAAAAATACCATCAACAATTTATCTGTTCCTGTAGGATTTACATGGTTGTTAAAGCCAGAACCAGAAATAAAAGAGGCCAAATTTGTACTTCCAACTATAAAGAGCTTTGTCCAAGATTGTAAACAATTGGTAAAAAAAAATGATTATGAGGCAATAAAATTGTATTTACAAAGTAAACTGTATATACCCAATAATATAGTAGAGCAAATTGCTAAGGAAACCATTGGGCAGAGTGAAAACCCATTATGGTTTGAATATAGAAAAAACCGAATAACTGCAAGCAAATTTGGTGTAGTTCTAGCAGCTTGTAAAAGGGGTAAATTTTCAAAATCCCTGTTTAAATCACTAGAAAATAATGCTAATATAAAAGGTATACATGCTGTACAATGGGGTATTACAAATGAAATCGAAGGTATTAAAGTTTTAGAAGAAAATAAAAATGTTAAAGTTGTTTCTACAGGTTTATGGCTGAGTAATAACGGTTTTCTGGGAGCTTCACCCGACGGAATCGTAAATTCTGATTATATTGTTGAGGTGAAATGCCCTTGGAAATATAGAAATAAAAATCTTGAAACTGAAATAGAAAAAGACCATAATTACATTGTATATAAAGAAAATAATATAATTTTAATTAACAAAAATCATATATATTGGGACCAAATCCAAGGGCAATTATATTTGACCAAGCGTAAATGTTGTTACTTGGTAGTATGGACACCTGGTCAGTCAATTATAATAGATATTGAAAAAGATGTGGAATGGGAAGTAAACTTGGACATTTTAGAGAGATTTTTTATCACCAAATACATACCATCTCTCATCCAGATGTAGAATTTTACTTTTAAACCATGTTTTTATTTAATTTGTTATAAGCATCGTTATTAATAACCTTATTATTAAGTTTTATTTATTTGAATAGTTTTTTACCAAAGAAATGGTCAAAGATAGGCCAAAGGAACCTTTTATTTTAATTTGTATTTTATTATTAAATTCTATACTTTGTTATTCTAATATTTGATTTAATTTCTGTTATTATGAACATTATTTTTTACAAAAATAAGATTACATTAATTCATATTATGTAGAGCTTAAATTAATTATAGGTACATAATATTATCAAGTTCCTGAAAAGATTTGAAAGTTCCTTTTACTTCAGTACAGTATCAATTATTTAGTTTTAATTACATTAGGACAATAGTATAAAATATGTAAATCTTTTCAAAGGTTAATTTTAATAGTATATAAAAAAATAGATTGTAGAACTTTATAAATTATAAATTTTCATTTATTTTATAATTTAATACATAGGTACTATTTGTTTTTTTTTAAATATTTACATCTTATCTTTAATTTCCTGTAAAAGAGGTGGCTGTAAATTTGTTAAAGCTGCGATTACTTGAAATATAGAATTAGCTTGTTTTAATAACGAGGAAGGAATAAAGTTTAATATATCATAGCATTTTATGCGTTGTATTGCCCTTTCAATGTGTATACGGGCTTTAGCAATCGATTCTGTTTGAATAATTTGTTCTTGTGTAAATTGTGGAGTATCTAAGAATGGGGGTATATTTAATAATACACCTGGAGGCAAGATATCTTGAATTAAAAATCCTTTATCTGCCATCACTAGATCACCGGGTACTAGCTGTTCAAGTATGCCACTCCTTAGAGTTATCACTTTGTCTGATGTCGACCCAGGAAATAGATCACTCACAAAAGTAACAACTCCATTTGGAGCAATTCCAACAAGTACTTTCCAAGTATTACGGTGTTTATAGCTACTATAAGTATCCCTTTGAGCATTCATGGACAAACGTGATACACTTGTAAAAACCTCAGTACAGTCAATGACCACACGACAATTTGAAAAATTTTTGAATGCATTAGGAAGGCAAGTTTTATTTTTATGTCTGGATGGTATTTTATTCATACATTTACTAAAAAGTATGTTGTGTAAAATATTTATCCAAGTTATTGTAATATTACTTATAGTAGCTACACTACATCCAAACCTCACAGATAAGTCTACATGAGGAAAATTATGTCTCAGCTTCATTAATGTTATGAGTAATTGGTCAGGTTTACTTATGCTGTTTACTTTCCAATTCAAATAATAATGGATTTCACAATTTTTTAGTAAATTAAATAGGGCCAAAAATATTTCATTAGAAGGTAATCCTGTGTAAAACATAACAAGTTCTTCTTTTTGACACAAGTTTTCATATGCAAATGCAACACTTAAGCTGTTAATTTTTAGTTGTAATATTTTGTTTTTTTCTTTAAGAGAATAGTTTTCAAGCTCCATATTTGATGGTTTAAAACTGTAATAAAATACATGGTTTTTAATATCTAAATAACCAAACATTAATAATATAATATAATATACCTATCAATTTCTTGAGGGCGGAGAGACAAATCAATTGGCCCTTCTTGAAATATTTCAACCTCTGGCAGTGGGTTGTCATCAGATGTGAATTCATTTACTGGGTCATTTACAATTACTGGCTTCTTAACAATTTGTTTTTTTTTTTTCTTCTCAGGAGACAAATGGTGCTCAAGAAACTGTTTTTGTCTATGAGATAAAAGTGTAGGAAAGTTTGATTTCATACCATCTTGAAAATGACAACTGCAGACCCGAGACGTTATACTTGGATAATCTGTTCTCCTAAATTAAAATAGATACACGTTTTAAAAAATTAAGTACTTAATGCAGGTATATAAACCTTTACACACTATATTTAAATCTATAACGACAGAAAATATAAAATAAATACTAGGTACCTTAGAAGCTTTATCCATTTTTGTTTCTGGTTCGACTTTGTAGGAAATCTAAAGAACTTACAATTGTATCTGTTGCTGTTATGAGAACAGCCAACTGCCCAACAACAAACCATCACAATACTGTAAATTATTATTATACAAAAAAAAACCGAGAATTTATGAAAAAACTATAGTTTTAGATTGAAAATATAATTTTTCATATAGAATCCTATGTTAAAATATGTTTGTTTGGAACCAAACGCCATTTCTGATAACGGTTATTCTTATCACACTAATAGCCCGTATTGTCTGCATGCTGCGTTTTATCGCGGGGACCAATAGGTCCTAGGTCGGTAATCGGAATAAAAATCCCCCGGCAAAAAAATCCCCGGAAAAAAAATCCCCCGACGAACAACCCCGGAAAAAAAATCCCCGACCCTAGGAAAAAAAATCCCCAGTTACAATATTCCTCACAATCACATGCAAATGGTTGAACAAATATATTTTGAACGTTAATTAGTATCTATAATTAATATTTAATGACAAATACGTATATTATATTCTATTATAATATATTATATTATATTGTTAAAAAAATTATAAAAATATTTAGAATGAACGATACGTCAATTAATAATACAGTTAAAAACATAGTATACAAAAATATTATACAAAATATAGGTACCTATATATTTTATGTTGGTATAATTCTGTAAAAATTGAATCCCCGAAATAAAATATTGCGTTTTCTGTGACATTTTGACGATAAGCGGTTTAGTATGTACCTTTGATAATATATATTATAAGGTAAAAGGTTACACCTACCTATCTAATCTGTAATGGGCTCAAGAACATAATTTGGATACTCGTTATCTTAGCTACAAATTTAGCTACAAATTTAGTACACGATACACAAAACGACAACGCTATGGAAACGTTGGAAATTTTAAAAACTAATGGTAAAAAACCTAAAATTACGCACATCGGCTTTATTTATCATTTTCAAAAAGAGTGTTCAAATTTTTTACGTTGGCGATGTTCTAGATTTAGCTCTTTAAAATTTCCTAGTGTACTTAAGACTAGTTTAAATATTGAAAATCCAATATTTGTTGGTCTTGATCATGACCATGTACATGATTCTAATAAAAATGCAGTCGCTGCTTTAAAATTACAAAATACAATGAAGAAAAAAGCACAAATATCACATGCAACACCGAGTCAAATATTTGCTGAGTCTGTGAGTAATGTACCACATGCAATATTATTAGAATTGACAAAAAAAGAACACGTAATTATAGATACTAATTAACGTTAAAAAAATATTTGTTCAACTATTTGCATGAGGTTGTGAGTAATATTGTAGTCTGGGGATTTTTTTTCCTAGGATCGGGGATTTTTTTTCCGGGGTTGTTCGTCGGGGGTTTTTTTTTCCGGGGATTTTTTTTCCGGGGGATTTTTATTCCGGGATTCCCTAGGTCCGGGCCTTTTTTTTCCAATGAATGTTGTTAGGTGTTTCCTTTTCCTAGATTCAATTCATGTCCTCTGAGAAAAAAACGAACAAACAAATATAAATATTTACTACTACTCTATCATGAGTAAGGTGTGTCTAAACTCTAAAGTGCAGAAATTTTAAATTTCAAAGATTTTGGGATTTGATGGTCTAATCTCTAATGTCTACGGGATCACTTTCTATAAAACTACGTTCTGTGATTATAATTTCAGGCTTTTAACTTTATGGAATTTAATTTTCTGGGAAATTATGGTCTACAGTATTACTTTCTGTAAAACTACGTTCTGTGATTATAATTTCAGGTTTTTAACTTTCTGGGATTAAAATTCTGTCATACATATTTTATTTTCATTTTATTTTCAGTATGAAAACAATTCTGGAACGTTAATTTCCAGTTATTTTATTTTCTGTAATTTTACTTTCTGTAATTTTATTTTCTGTTCCTTTATTTTTCTGTTAAATTTACTTTATGGATTTCTAACGTTTGTGTCGTTTATTTTCTGGAACATTACGGGCGCCCGACTATATACCCACAGATTATATGAAAACAGATTGTGCCCTTAAATGTAAACAAAAAATGGCACCACCAGAATCAACGTGACCACTTCAACAAACTAAAATTATTTGGAACTTATCATGTACTGGTGGCTCACCTGATAGTGATACCCGAGTATACGACGAAAACCACGAACTAAGATATCTTAGTCCGTGACGAAAACAAACATCTTTTCATATAATCTGTGATATATTCATATATCCATGCATAGACCATAGACCTATGGGCTATGGCATAGACCATATACTTATAGACGGAACACGTAGTTACATGTTACTCATGTTGACGATAAGCTGCGTCCCACGAAGCACCGAAGCACATCGCACATGCGCACTAGCGACGCACGATAAAAATCCATATCAATATATTGTACAAATATTGTACGATTGTTGTTATCATTCCACCTGTTGGCTGTTGTTTTATTTTTTGAACTTTTTGTCGTTTGATTTTTATATTTTAAAAAAACGATTAAGAAATATTTTCGAGTCTTTTATTACATTCATTTTTCTGGTAGTCAAGCAACATGGGTCGAAAATGTATTATTTGCAAAATACCAGAAATTGTTAATTGTGGTGTTTCATTTCACTCGTAAGTTGATATTTTAGAACTATAATTATGTCATTTAACCAACAATATGCCAAAAATTATATTTTTAGATTTCCTAAAGAACAAAGCCTTAAACAGTTATGGATGAATGATTCATTCAGAATGAATGCCAAATTAAATTAATGCTAATTAAGTATGAGGTCTATGTATCCATTACAAATTAGTCCGTAGAAGCATTGTTCTGTGGTAGAAGGAACATTGTTCTTTGATCGTGGTCTATGGTTATCTATGAATGTAGAGCGGGAAAATATAAAATTTATCATTGTAGTGATATGATAAATGATAATAATACGTCTATTAAATGTCTAAAATTCAAGTTATTAAGTTATTTAGCCATGGTGTATTAGCACGTATTAGGTACTATATAATAATTATTAATTAACAATATAAAATTATAAACATAAATAAAGTACGCTGTAGGTCTGCAGTATCAAACCGATATAAATTATAATTTTAATTTTAATTTTCTAAATTTAAATTTTTAAAATTAAAATACTTATAAGTTATAAGTTGATAGTTTGTTATTATTAAGTATATAGTTGTAGTTACTAGTTAACTACTTTACTGGTTTTATAAATGTTAAACAAATTTCTTCAACTTTTGTCTTAAATTTACGTTTTTATTATTATTGGATAGGTATAATACTCGAAAATATAGATGCCAAAATATCTAGTTCAATTAATGTTATTAGAGTATATTATTATTCAAACCCAAAAAACTTTGCAATTAGGCAGGCCAGTTCTAAATTCAAGTCATTTTACAGATTTATGTTATAGTAATAATATCATGGTCTGAATCAAACTGATTGAATTTTGAATGTCACTTTTCATTGAACAATGGTAAGTTATTTTTATTTAATTATAAATTTAAATCATCTGCAGTGTATTTCAGGCTATATTAGAATTTATGCATTGTGTTATTTGTATTTTAACAATTTTACATACATATATTAGTAACAGATACAAATTGTATACAGTTTGATACAGATTGTACACACATTAGATACAGATTGTCAAATTGATTTAAGTGGTATGCAGTTTAATATATAATTTATTATATTGAAATTACATTTTGAATCTGCTTAATTCAATAACCACAGTAATCAGCAATCATGGTAGGTATTTCATTTTTTTTTAATTTGTTGTGTAGCAAAATAAAATCTACCTGTGAATCAAAATTATAATAATACATAGTTTGTTTAATTGTATTTTTTAACGGCTTATTTAGCGTCGAAGTTTAGCTCCAAGCCAAGTCAATAAAAGACCTTTGAGTGATTCAAATCAATCTAAAAGAGCTTGTGTGAAATATAATGACCAATCACAAAAAACTGAACAAAATTCAAAATTAGATGACAAATCTTTAACACTTTCTTTATATGTTAGTATAATATAATTATAATTTTTAAAATTATAAATAAAAGAAATTGTTTAAATTTATATTTTTTTAAGGAACAAAATATAAGAAATATATTATCAAAGCCGTTTAAAGTACCAATAGCAAATTGGAGTGGTAGCAGTTTCAGTAGAGCATTAGGTGTTCGCCGTGATGGTTTACGTCGACCTTTACATGACCCTACTGCTCCTGATGCTCTTATTTTATATATTCCTCCACAAATTAGTGCCCATGACATTTTAAAAATGGATAAGTATGGTATGCTTAAACTGAAAATAATTATTTAACTAATATGTCTTTATTTTTTTTAGAGATAAAATATTAGTTAATGTTGTTGTTGATCCGGCGTTATCAAAAATACTTAGGCCCCATCAAAGAGAAGTTAGTATAATTTTAAATATCAATTTAAAATGTTCCTCATGAGTTCTTGAGGAAGGAAAATGTTCTGCTCTTTAAACAGAAATGTTGGACTATGCACATATTTGTTCATTGATTAGACCTTAGCTCTCAAACTAGCAGATATTAATCATTACCATTGTTAACCATTAACTAGTTAAATTGTTACTATTACTAACCCACTCAATTGATTTTTTAATGAAGCTGATATAAAACAAAAGTTGACCCCCAGAATAAAGACTTAAATATTTTTATATTTGCTAGGCACATAATTTATTATTGGTAAAAACAGAAGTGTTATAAAATAATTTTATTTCTTATCTTTTATATTTTTTTTATTTACATTTGAATGCAATAACTTAAATCTTCCCAAATAATTGCATCCCAATTCCAGGTACATTATATTGCACATTTCCTTATTATTTTAGCAGTTTATCTTACTTTGAATCTAATCCAACATCATCAATTATTTAAGATAAAAGCTTTAAACTGGTAAACTAAATTTGGGGAATGGAATACTAAAAGTTTTTATACTATTTTGTTAATTTCATTCATTATAGTATTGACTAGTTCTTATTAAATAATTTATTCTTAAAACTTATTCACTTTTTAGGGTGTTAAGTTTATGTATGAGTGTGTTACTGGAGTACGTATAGAAGGTGCATATGGATGCATCATGGCAGATGAAATGGGATTAGGAAAGACTTTGCAATGCATAACTCTAATGTGGACTCTTTTGAAACAAGGACCAGATGCTTCACCAACTATTCACAAAGCTATTATAGTTACACCTAGTTCTTTAGTAAAGGTAGAATTCAATTATTAAATAATGCAAATCAATTTTGCTATCTTGCTTGTATATTAATTATTAATAATCATTAAAGTAATATATTTTATTTAAGAATTGGTGTAATGAAATAAAAAAATGGCTTGGTGGTAGAATTGGAGCTTTACCTGTTGATGGAGGAGGCAAAGAACAAGTGGACAAAGTAATTACTGGGTTTGTTCAAGCTAGAGGACGTAGAACTGTTGATCCAATTTTAGTTATATCATATGAAACTTTTCGTAGCCATGCAAGTTTGTTACAAAATGCAGAAGATATAGGTCTTGTGTTATGTGACGAGGTAAATATAATATTTTTTATTTTGATCTACATAAATAATTAAAATAATAATTTTAATACATATTTACTATTTAGGGACATAGATTAAAAAATTGTGAAAATCAAACTTACCGTTCATTAATGGCTTTAAAAGCAAAACGAAGAGTTCTGTTGTCAGGCACACCAATCCAAAATGATCTACTTGAATATTTTAGTCTTGTTCATTTTGTTAATGAAGGCATCTTAGGGACTGCACAAGAATTTCGTCGCCAATATGAAACACCTATTGTACGAGGTCAAGATTCCTGTGCTACTGATTCTGAACGAAAAAAAGCAGCAGAGCGTTTAGAACAATTAATTTCATTAGTAAATAGATGTCTTATTAGACGAACCTCAGCATTACTTTCCAAATACTTACCAGTTAAAACTGAACATGTTGTTTGCATAAAATTGACACCACTACAAACTGATTTATACCTCCATCTCCTTAAATCTGATATGGTTACAAAATCAATTAAAGGTATACTAATTATTTACAATAATTTTCACTTAAATATTAATAGCTTATAGTTAAAACAATATTATTACATTATTTATACATTTACAGGTAACGATGGGAAAGTTACTAGCAATGCATTAGCTGCTATTACATTGCTCAAGAAGTTATGTGCTCATCCAGATCTTATAGTAGATAAAATAATGAATGGAAGTGATGGATTTGAAAATTCAAAACAATTACTACCTCCAACGTACATCGCAGCTCATTCCAAGTAATTTAAAGTTTATTATTTTAAGCTGAAATTATAAATTAATATATAATCAATAATAGAATTGTTTTTTTGATTTCAAATTGAGAAGCTACCTTATTATATTACCTTTATAATATGTAATTTTAATTTTGTATTATATTTTTCAGAAAAAAACTCATGATTGAATTATCATCTAAATTAATGGTCCTTGACACAATGTTAGCTGTTATAAAAACTACCACCACTGATCGTGTAGTATTGATTTCTAATTATACTCAAACATTAGAATTATTTGAAAGACTTGCTAAATTAAGAAACTATACATTTGTTAGATTAGATGGATCCATGACTGCTAAGAAAAGAGCAAAAGTATGTACTATTATCTTATATATGTATTAAACAATTGTATTATTCAGTTTACTTAAGAGTACCTATAATATTAATTTAATTATAAAAGTAATTCAGATTTTTTTAAGATTATCTTAGTTGAAATTATTTTTCAATTTTTAATAATAGTACAAAATCAGTGTGGCTCTGTTTTACATTAAGTGTGGGTGTACCTCATCAGAAAGTTGGTCACTGTAATGGATGAGTTAAATTTAAAGTCAATGATAAATCATTGCAAACCAAAATCGTTTCTGAGCTAAGGCTGTCTGTCATTATATACAAAATATAACATTTAACACGTTCACTGCGTACTGACGCCAATTGGCGTCATAAGTATCATTCAGCAACGCGTTTGACGCCATATGGCGTCTAATATACATTTAAAATAAATCGTTTAAAATTCCCTACGCGTGGCTGAATGTTATTTTATTATTATTTAGCGTGGATTAAACGCATGTTTTTAAATATGTATACATACATCGTTATGAGCAGTTTCTTTATATTTTTTTTTTAATTTCTTTTGTTTTTCCTTTTATCATACGCACTGGGGGAAAACTGCAAAAAGACATACGCAGTCAACGTGTTAAGATATTTTTTGCCAAAAACATGCATTTAGTATATTAATAAAATTGAATTATCTTAATAGTAATGATTTCAAAATTGACTTTCTGTAGAACGGTGTACATAGGTAATAGGTTAATGGTATCATTGGTATTAAATATTATAGATAGCTCACAGAGTGGTTTTCCGTGGTGTTCAATAAAACCCTCTGTAAATGGCAATAAGAACTAACAACATTGATAAATTTGCATTTTATTCCAGCTGCCGTAACTATGATTAAGTTTGGTGCTGGGATAACTGGTTTTTATCATCCCTCCTACTACAGATATTTATAATCAATTGTGGTTTAAATAGGCAATAGCAAAAATGTAATCTAAATATTTCGAAAAATTCTTTGTGCTTCATGCTACATTATATAAAATATAATAATAAACTTAAAAGTTTCAAGTTCCCAAGAATAATATTTTTTAATTACAACAAAATAACTAAAATTGTAATTCTTCGTTTAAGTAACTAGTTTTGTCAAAATTTGAACTTTAAAAAGTTTAAAAATTGTGTCTATGTATTTAGATATATTTGAATTGATGTGTTAACAACTTATAAGGAACTTGTATAATACATTTTCAAGCTTTTTTACTCAAACAATAAAGTTGTATTTTACTTAAACAAAAAAATCTGAAAAAAGTTGACAATTTAAAATATATATAAACAAAATAAAAAAGAGACTAAATATTTTGAAAATTATTTAATGCTCATATAAATATTCTATGAAAATTTCAAGTTATGTGACTCCTCTCGGAATGCAAAATAGGTAGTTATAATTTTCTACATATTCTTTAAATGCCAGCCACTAGTCATATTGCCTTTCCAGTTCTTAGATAATGAGTAAAGAGATACAATTTGAAAAACCAACAAATCATACTAAACTGGTTCTCCCTACATTTATTTTTAAAGTATTTTGAAATATATAATAATAATGAAATAAAAATGTGTTCCTGTAATAACTATTATTTGTACTTTAAACAGGCTGTAGATGATATTAACAGCCCTACTAGTGGTGTATTTTTGTTTATGTTGAGTTCAAAAGCTGGAGGTTGTGGATTAAATTTAATTGGAGCTAATAGGTTAGTAATGTTTGATCCCGATTGGAATCCTGCTAATGATGATCAAGCAATGGCTAGAGTATGGAGAGATGGCCAAAAAAAACCTTGTTTTGTTTATCGATTTTTAGCTGTAAGTTGTTGTAGTAAAGTATTATTAATAAAATGTATCTGAAATAATTAATTTAATACATTTTTTAGACTGGAAGTATTGAAGAAAAAATGATGCAAAGACAGGCACACAAAAAAGCATTAAGTTCTAGTGTAGTTGACTGTGAAGAAGATGTTGCAAGACATTTTACAGTTTCAGAATTACGTACATTATTTAATCTACGGCAAGACACTATTAGTGATACACATGAAAAGTAAGAAAAACAATTAATCTTAACATACAATGTATTTACAATAATCATTACTTATTTAAATATTTTACTTCCATCAAATATAAGTATAAAAACATATTTAAAATAAAGTGTAGTGACAATTTTTTTTTTTTTATCTGCAGGGGGTAGTCCTTGTTGGTAGAAAAGGCAAAAGCCTTTCCTTCATCTGAATTTTAGATTCTGAGTAGAACGATGAATGTATTGATTTTACAATGATGTGTGTTTTAGTATTTTTTTTTTTAATTTTTGTGTCTGTACATGACGAGTAGCCAAAAAAAATGCTTCGATTTTCAAATTCAGTATCTTGTTCAATTGGAAAGTGAATATTGTTGGTGCATTGGTAAGGTCAAAATTCAAAATTCCCAGTAATTTTCAAAAGCGCCAAGAAAAACAAAAGAAAAATTAAAGAAAAACAGGAATTTTACTTAAAATCGATTTTTCATTAAATCCAATGGTTTTTTTTGTAACTTTAAAAAAAATTATCTTAGATACATGAAAAATTCACTAGTTGTTTATATTTCCATTTTCTATATGTGATAACATTTTCAAAATATTTTGATTTGTTTTGAACTATTTAGGGACATTTTCAGTTTCCCATTTTAATAGTTTTTTTTTTCTATGAATGTCAATAAAACTTTATTTGTTGAGTAAAAATCCTTGGAAATGTAATACAAGGCTCCTACCATATTGTTACAATGACATTTGAAAAATATTAAAAATCCTTAGTCACAGTTTTTTTTTATAATAATTTAATGTTCAAAAATTGACAAAATATAGAAAAATTACGAAATATTATTTTGAGTTAAGAATTCATAAAAAATGTTCTTAAAAATGTAAAAAATTTTAAAATGTAGTACAAGATTCCTTATAGTATTATCTACCTTTATCAAAAAAAAAGTGTCTATAAGAAAGTCAAATTAAATTTTTAGTAGCTTTTGAAATTCAAATTTCAAGTTTCTGTTGGGCCAAAAAGTGTAAAAATTTAATACAAGGCTCCTGATATATTGTTACAATAGCAGTTGAAAAATATTAAACATCCATTGGCAAAATTTTTTTTTTAAGCATTTAAAGATCAAGTTTTGACAAAATTTATCAAATTTAAAATTGAATAATTATTTTGTAGTTAAAAATGTATAAAATGTTGAACTTTTATATCTAAGGATTGAAAAGTTAAAACAAGATTTCACTTAAGTAGTTTATTCTGTTACCAAAAAATCTAAAAAATGCTAAGCACAGTTTTTTTTTATAGTCATTTTAAGTTCAAATTTGGATGAAATTACATATTATTTGTAGGTAATTGGAACTTCTAAAGTATACTATTTATATCTATTATAGTATCACGGTTTGTGTTGATGTATAATAAGTTATAAGTACCTAATGGCTATTATGATTTATTATAGGTCAATTTTTTTTTAATACCATAGATAAGTATATAATATGTCTTATACCTAGACTGACATACCGTCTCCTCTCAGAATCATTTATCTTATACAATTATACAATAATATATCATTGAATTCAAATTTAATACCATCCATTATACAGTGACCCCCTTGTAACCTACTGTACTGCAGAGCATCTTTTTAAACCTCTAAGATAAATGTTTTTCAATAGCTCAATAAACCTATTAAATGTTGTTTTTTATTTTACTAATTTGTTTATTGATTTATTATATATTATATTTCTATAATATTTTATATTTAAATACATTTTTTTTTTTTTAGAATAAAATGCACCCGTTGCATTAATAATATCCAAACAAAACTACCTCCAGTGGATAGTGACTGTACAAATGATCTTTCTTGTTGGCATCATTGTGCAGACAAACGATGGCTTGTCGATCCAGTACTAAAACAATGTTGGCACGCTGGCATCAGTATGGTGTTTTATCAAAATTCTACAATTCATAAAGAGGTAATATTTTATATATATAAATAATAAACATAATATATTTCCTTATATTTGCTACTTAATAATAAAAACCAATAACCATTATTATTAGTTATTACTAGAGTTTTGATTTTGTAGATCAATAAAATATAATACTTGCACTAAAAATTCTGAAAGTAAACACTAATAATTATTTTTAAAACTTCATTATTTGATTACTAATTATTTTTTATTAATTAAATAAATATTTTGGCATATAATATGTGTATTACTTACATATTTCAACAAGTTTCAAAATTATTTTTAACTAGCTATACTATTAATATATTAATTTAAAAGACAAACAATTTTATAAACTGTAAAATTAACTTAGAAAATGGAGTTTTAAATGCTTTAAATACTCTACAAAATTTTTCTTTTTTCAATTTTTGTCCTTTTATGTGCTTTTCTCTATATGTTGTTGAATTTAGAATTTTTTTCTGCAACCACTTTAATACAGCATATTTTTAAACTCAGCACTACATTATTCCAATAAAAAATAATTTTCCCAAACACTTTCTTTCATATTGAACCGACAGAAATTGAAAGGAAATTAAATTATTATATTATATTGTTTAATTATTTAGTCATAAAAAGATTCTATTAAATCTTTATGTTAGGATTTATAATGTATTAACTATTAATGTATATTGTATAATATGTATATCATTGCACATTATAGAGTAGGTATCTTTTATCTGTGTACCAGCCAACAAGGCTAAAACCTATAAAATAATGAATAAATTCTAAGATACTGAAATATTTAAAATATTGTGAGACAGTATGATGAATGTCAAAAACATAAGTTATTAATTTATTATGAGAATTTCCAACAGTCATTATTAGTCGAAACAAATAAATAATTTTTTTTCTTAATACATAGTTTAACTACATTTTAATGCTGATCAGAAATTGTTTTTTACATTTTTTTATGAACTAATAATTAATAAAATTATTTTTAAAACAATTTACTTGACTTATTAGTGGTGGTATTCAAAATATTTAAATTATACCAAGTATACATGCTTACTATTATTATTTTTATTAAAAATTGTAAATTGAACATTTCTATTTTTTTATTTGTTCATGGCCAAAACAAATGTGCAATACATTCAATTTATAATTTAAATTTGTTCACTTTGTGTTAATAACTCAAAAATGATATTGAATTTCTTAGAAACCAATTATTGAAGAGGACAATGATAACATTGACAAAAAAGAAGAAGAAAATAATATAATACACTAATAAAAGTATGTATATTAAATTATTTTTGTTAATTATTTAATATGTGTTTACTTTCTGTTAAAGATAATATAAAATAATGCTATTAGATATTATATTATGATAATTAAGTTCCCAGTACCTTATCCTATTTATAAATACTTTAAAATGTATTACTATATTATATTACCTAATTTTGTAAGTGATTACTTATTAATCAAAGTAATACCATGAAATAAATTAATATTTAACACATTGAACGCTTAACACCTAACCTGTTGTTGGCATGAATGAATGGGCGCATGTGGCCTGTGTCAACCCGTGTTATAAATGATATACATGTATTATTTATATAGGTTAGAATTTTTATGTGATCCTTCTACAAATATTTGACTGGGGATGCCAAAATCCTGTATAAGATATAAGACAATAATTTTCAAACAAATTAAAAAAACTTAGTTTTTTTTTTTTTAAATGAATGACAACAGGACAATTATACATTTAGAGCATGAACAATTTGATTTAAGGGAAGAGACATTTGCAAATCAACCAAGTGTTTCCCTCCCAATTTTTTTTTCTTTTTTGTATGATTATAATATATTGTATCTGTGGCATAAACTGTTTGGTTATCACTCACATAGTCATATTATGCCATAGACCTTATACTAAAAGACAGAGCATATAAAGACAGCGGGGTTGGGTAGTGCGGTTCTTGGCAATTTGAATTACGGTGATATATAATATATATTATATACAGTTATACTCAGTTTATTGTATCGATTTCTGCTCATGTGCGTGGGACACCTGGCAAGACCACTCAAACTATACCCTTGCTCCGTCTATTAGTATAAGGTATGTATTATGTAAACAGTAGTTGTCATTTTCTGAACTTAAAAGTTCAGATCTCCGTTAAATCTTAAATTTTGATCATATCTTTATAGTCAGGTACATTATTATTTATTTTAACATAAAGGGAGCTTGATCAATTTATTTAGAGGGGCTTATTTTTCATAAGCTTCATTAATTTAATTAATAAAGTATAACTTATTAAATAAATATAACTATTTCAGTAGTAATAAAATTGTTTATATAAAATAAAATAAATTTATCTGCAAATTCAATATAAATGATAAGAATTTAACATTTTCTACAAATAACATAATGGAAATAATTTCTCTTTACTACCTAATTGTTAAAAAAAATTGTTGTACAATGTATCTTAATTAAATTAAATTTGGTTTGATAACATACAGGCAATATACATGTACTTATAGTATTTACAATATTCATAACTATTTAAACACAACACGTTATATTTAATTGAGAAAAATACTAATAGAAATTATCACAAAATAAATTAGTTTAAACATATTAAATAAATAGACAATAGGTACATTTTACTTAGAATAAAGTTGTACACAAAAGTATACAAATGAAGGATGAGAAATTTTTAATTTCCATTAACAGTAGAAGTATTTAGTTCAATATTTTCATTTTTATCTCGTTTACAAAGTGAATCATCTACATCTATTGCAACAATGTTTGGTAAAATAAAATGACCATCACTATTGCTACGAATTGGTTTAATCGTTCGCAATTTCGTAGTTCCAGAATAACATACATTCACGTCTTTACAGTCCAGTGGATGCAATCCATTATTATTTAAATTACTTTCATTACTAAATAATTCATAGTTACTCTTTGAGCTTTTTAAACAGTTTTTCTTTTTCACCTCTTCCTGATTTATTTCTTCTTTTATCGATTTTTTCAATATGTTTTTAGAGTCTGATAAAGATTTTTCTAACATAGGTTTTATTCTATATGGTATATCTAACTGAGGCTTACTAAACAAATTGTTAATGTTTGTTTGCTTATTATCATTTCGCCGATTTCGGCACATATTTATTTGAGAAATCAAACCTAATACATCAGGAGGTATCTCTATGGCTGAATGAGCATACGCTAATTCAGATACAAAATTTCCCAAAGTTGCCACAGTAAGCTCAAGGCTTTTAACTTCACTTTCTAACCGGTTAATTGCTGATAGATTAGAAGATCTGTTCATCTCCAAACGTCCATTATTTGTTATTGATATCTACAACACAAAAACCATGTCATTTTCATAAAAACAAATTATAATTTAGAATACATAATATTTTGGTTGAACATAATTCTTAATACTATATTTATCTTATATTCAAAAATTTTTACATTTATTAAATTATGATACAAATTTACCTCGAGTTGTTCGTGTAGAATTTTATTTTGTTGCATTAAAGCCTTATTCATTTCCTCTAAATACTTAATTTTTTTAATTTCAGGATTGGGTGAAGATAATTCTTCTTGCAATACATGATACTCGACTCCATATTCCATTAATTGTTTAGATAAATCAGTTGTAAATACCTTATAAAAATATAAATATACTAAAATTAAAGTAAATTAATATGATTATTTAAACATACTTGTTTAATTATTTTGTCGATGATTTCATTATTTACAACAGGGAAATCATTTTTAATAAAGTTCATTATTTGTTCCATTCCATCACATGCGAGCAGATTATCCTTGTGATATGTCAACAACGATAATATGACACGAAACAGAACATCAATATTTTCAAAGAATAGTATATCTATAAGAAAAACATAAACATATTTATCAACTTTTATAATTGTAAAGCTTAAATCACTAATTAATATTATTGTACCAAATATGCGAGCAACAAATCCTAATGGAAACTGAGAAGCAAACATTGTCAAGAACCAAGGTGCAGCATACAATGTTGGAGGAATATCACAATTGTCGAAATGTGCATAAAGGTCAGGGTGGTGATCATGAAGAAGTCTAGATAATTGGTAGAGTTGAACTTGCAAAGCTGCCATATCAGGAAGATATTGTTTTCTTAACGAACGTCTAAACATTAAATGTTTTAGCATCATAAAGGCTTGTTCTTCAGACATCTGTAAAAAATAATTTTTATCTACTAATATCATACTTACTAATATTCCGTTAAAGTATCACTCACGTGTAATAGTAAGACACCAGCTACAAAACAAAGTCCTTGACAATAACCAACTTCTGGATCTAATAAAGAATATGCTTTGAGCAAATTGTACAAAGCTAGTTGCCCAGGACCAAAAGGTGACATAAAATAAGTGTGGTTTGGAAATGTTCTTCCTGCGATTTTCAAAAAAATAATAATATATTTAACAGGTAATTAATTATTAAATAACACAAATAACAATAAAACAATTTATTTTATTATTTAATTCAAACTTAAAATTTTGAATTTTAGTATAATAATCTACTATAAAATAGAAAAAATATATATACTTGAATACAACTTACCTAAATCGATAAGGATAGCATGTTGATACTTAGTTAATTGTTTTAATAATTGTTCATATGGTACATTAAAATTTGGAAACTTTTCTAGATCAATAGGAGAAGGTGCAGTTGTGTTACAATACAATTCAGCAAAAAATATCCAAACATCTCCTCTTTTACTTCTTGGAACTCCTGTCATATTAAGTATTATTGTATAGATATAGACTTGTCATTTTTCTTAAATTTTAGTAAGATTTATTATATTTTAGATGATATATTGTTTACCTTGTCTTATAGCTTGACGCAACATTTTTGCATCAAATTTACGATTCTCTTTATTAACTATTGTTTCCCACACACCCAAATATTCTCGAGCAGATGAACCAATATCATCATACTCCAGTTTTATTCTTTTTACTGTTGCTTCTTCTTGCCTTTCTATAATTTTCAAATATAATATCATATTAAACTTTTTAAAATATAATAATTAGTAAAACAATTTATACTATTAGGAACCTCTAAAAAAATATATGGCTATTATTTAGTATACATTATAAAGGACAGAGCTGGGTATTGGCGAGGAGCTTGAGTTTGTTAAGTAACGGATTTAGCGTTTTCTTTAGCCCATTGCACTCCAACATAAGTATTTAGTTTTTTGTCTCAGTCTTGTCATAATACTGTACATATATTTCTATAGTTTAGTTATATAATAAAATTAACTACAGAATATCCTCAAACACATATTGGTTTATTCTACTTTAGACTCCAGCCCATAAGAGAAGGAACTTGTTTCGTGCATGCATCAAGCATTGAATGTCCCGAGATACTATTTCCCCCACTCAAACAATTCCAGATACTTGTACAGCGTAGGCAACCGTTGACAATCGTGACCGGAGAAATGATAAGGAAATAGCGCCTTGGCACTAGTGGGCTATATGATGGTGAGGGGCTGGTTTGAAATCGGAAAGGTTTTCATCGAGACACGGTTTCCTTCTTTTATGGGCCGGAATATAGTAATTCATAATATACATTTTGTAGTTGTGGTTTATATAATATGAATTCCATCCATTTTACGAACCTTTTAATTTTGCATTTTCTTTTTCCATTCGAATTAATAATACTTGTTGATTAATTGCTTTTTTCCACAAAGCTCTTAAATCATCAGCATCTAATTTCTTTTTAACATTCTCAGTATCTAAAGCATCAAAGTTAAATAAATATAAATAATCTCCAATAAATTAAAAAATTCAAACTACCTTTCGTTTGTTTGTTAGGAGTGACAACATTTTTGAAAATTGCTTGACGCCAACTTCCCGGATTCAGATCATTTTGTTCATCAGAATCATTATCCGAAGTTGAAATCATAGAAGATTTTGGAGATTGACCAACTTTCAAAAACCTAAAATTAAATAATTATTATGTTTTTTAAAGAAGTAGTTTTTTTTATTATAATCCTATTAACTAACATATTCATCATTGACGCTGGGCTGCTGTGAGATTTAGTTTCAGCTAAATAAACTTCAGATTTATTAGGATGTGCTTTACTATTAGATATTGATTGTTGTACAAGTAATCGTGAACTTAAATCAGATTTTGGAGAAGGTTCCTAAAATAAAATAAAATATTTTTATATTTAAACTAATAATAATAGTTATAAAAAATGTCCAATATAATATAATTTAATATAGAAGCTA